TATATATATATATATATATATATATATATATATATATATATATATATATATATATTATATATATATTTTTTTTAAAGTATGAAAGTTTGTTGTATTTTTAACACGATACTATTAAATTTAAAATGTTGTAGAGAAAGCCTGAATACAACTCATGGAGAGGCTGATAGGCAGGTTTTTTAATTAGGGCATTTTTATGTAGGTAATGTTATTGGGCAGCAGCTTTAAGGCTTACCTATTTTCTAAAAGTTGTTGGCATAGGGTGGGAGGGGGTTATTTAGAAAATCATACTTTCAGTGCTTGAGTTTTTATTAAATTTTCTATTTTTCTTAACCTATTTTGAAAATTTGGGATCAATTAGTTTAACTTGTTGGATCATGATCCAGATCCAAAAAAGTAGGATCTTGGACTAACATTTTCTTATACTTCATTGAAATAATTATAAATATGTAAGTATAAAAAAAACCTTCTTGGAAAATATGAAACTTCAGGATTACAATGAAAAGCCAGAATTCAAAATTTAAGTTTTTGACCAGTCATTCGTTTGACCGAATCGATCCATGGATTTGACTAATATGCTCTATAAAACCATTTTATGACTCATAAAATGAATTTTTTTTTTTTACTTAAATTCGCCTAAATATTTGGAGCAAGTAGCTAAAATTTCAAGTGTTTTTACTTTTTACTTAGTCATACTCTTTGAATAATTTAAAAATTTTGGAACCAGTTCTGGATTAAGGGGGAGGGCTAGGGCCGTATATATACAAATCTAAAATTTTCCTTCAGCATCCTATAAGAATCCTGTTAATCCTGCAAGATCTTTTAAAACATTTTTGTAGATCTTATATTATCTTATAAGAATTTCTTCAAATCCTACAAGACCCTTCAAAAGATTCTTGTAAGTCCTGCAGGGACTTGTGCATCTCATCCTATAGGATTCTTGTAGGATTTGTAAGATCAGTCGTCTAGTGTAAGTACGTTTTTAAGACATAATCCACATGCGCCTATAAAAAATGGTCGCAGTGTATATATATATATATATATATATATATATATATATATATATATATATATATATATATATATATATATATATATATATATATATATATATATATATATTTATATATATATATATATATATACATATATATATATATATATATATATATATATATATATATATATATATATATATATATATATATATATATATATATATATATATATATATATATATATATATATATATATATATATATACATATATATATATATGTATGTATAAATATATATATATATACATATATATATATATATATATGTATATATATATATATATATATATATATATATATATATATATATATATATATATATATATATATATATATATATATATTCTTTTTTTTTTTTTTCTTTTTTTACATTTTTGTTTTCAACAAGGCTGCAAGCAACAATTATAAAAGTTGGAAAAGAAAAGATGAAGTTTGTAAAGCAAGATAACGATTGACATATTGACGATTGACATATAAATTATATGAATCAGGAAAGCAAGATGAAGGAAGCGAACTCCAAAGAACTGATGTTCGAGGAAAAAAACTAGATGAATAAAAATTTTTAGAGCACTTAAGCTCTTAGGAACAGTCACAGAAAAAAAAGAGACTTAATTGAATGACGAGTAAAAAGTGAATTAATTTTAGTAGATGGCACGAGAGACGCTAGTTCTTTAGAGCAGTGCCCATCATAGTATTTGTTAAAAAAACTACGCTACAACAATGTGATAATGGTTGGAGGTTAGCTACAAGATCAGGTCCAACTATGTTTACAATGTGTTTTTGCACCTTGTCTAAAATAGCAAGGACATCATTATATGATCCGCCCCAAATAAAGCAACAGTGTTCCATACAAGGACGGATTTGAGATTTATAGAGATAAAGAATAGAATCAGGAGTAAAAAAGTGAAGAGCTCGATAAAGAGATGCAGCCTTAGCAGATGCTAATTTTGCAATGAATTTGATATACGGTTTAATATATGGTTTGATATACACTTTTTTGATATACGGTTTTAATTACTCATCGAGTACATTACCGTTCATAAATATAGGAAGACCTAAATTATTACAATAACAATTGGCTAAAAAAAATTGAGTTTTATCTGAGTTAAAGTTCACCAGCCACTGTGAGCCCCATGCTGTAGCAGAAGTGAGATCCTCTTCAAGCTAAGTTGCCCCCTCCAAGCAATCAGAGAGTGTTGGCTTCTTATCATGACAAGAATAAATGGTAGTATCATTAGCAAACAATGCCACCTTAGATGTGAGAATATTTGGAAGATAGCTAATGTAAATTAAAAAGAGTATAGGGCCAAGGATTGAACTTTGAGGAGTCCCTGAAGTTACAAAGTAAGAAGAAGAGTGCTTCCCATCATGGACAACTTTTATATTAAGATTGGAAACGAAGGATTCAATAATCTTAAAGACCAGATACACCATAAGTAGAAAGCTTATTTTGAAGACCAGCATGCAACACTTTATCAAAAGCTTTAGAAATGTCAAAAGCAATAGCCTTAACCTCTCCACTTCTGTCTAATGCTTGATAAAACCTATCGATTATTACTGTTTGCAAATCAGCTACAGAACAAGAAAATCGAAATCCTTATGTCAGAAAGTAAGTTATTAAATTCAAGATGAGAGATTAATTTATTTTGTTAATTAAAGATTCAAAAACCTTGCTTATGGTAGGAAGAAGACTAGTGGGACAGTATTTGGACGAATCAGATCGCTCTCCAGAATTTTTGAAAATAGGGATAACAGATGCAGATTTCAAGCAGGCTGGAAAGCAAGACTCTGATAAGCGCTTGTTAAATAGTTTTGAAAGTATAGATGACAGCTTTGGAGAATACTTCTGCAAGACTACAACAGGTATGTTGTCTGGACCACAAGCTGTAGAAGAATCTAAGCAGGAAATCACTTTTGATACAAAAGCTGGATTGATGCAAATGTCAAGTAATGGATCAATCTGCTTGACGGCTATATCAGGTAGAACTCAACTAGTGGAATCAAGAGATGATATTGATGAAAAGTTCTTAGCAAACAACTCAGCTTTGTCTTTAGGTGAAGTGAAAAAATCTAAACCATACAAGAGAGGTGGAATAACAGATTTGCCTTTATTATTGATACTGTTAAAGATTTTCCAGATGTCAGGAGAGCCTAATTTTTGAGATGAAATATGAAATTTCATGACCTGAGAATAGCGAGCTTTGGCGTTAAACAAAACCTTTTTACAATGATATTTCAGCAATAGTAAACAGATGTCTTTTTTCTAGAGAATTTTTTTGCTGACAGATTTAGAGCAAACGGTTTTGATTGGAAATTCCAGCAGCAAAATGTGAGAAAAACCAAGGAGAAGAGTGAAGCTTGACCTGGAATCGTCGAGAGGGAATAAAAGATTCCATTTCAGCCTGAATCCACAAAGTTATGTAAGAAGCACATGTGTTGGCAGGAAGTCGAAAGATTTCTACCCAAGGACCATCACGAAGAAAATCACGGAAAGAGTCCCGTCAGCTTTAAAGTAGTTGTAAGAGATACGACGGTAGGGGGATTCAGATGATGAAGAAGAATGAGATAATAGTTATAGAGAGATCAAACCGTAGTCAGAAGTACCTAAGGGTAAATGTGGAGAAACTGAGCACTGACTATGATAAGAAACAAGATATAGGCCGAATAAAGAAGGTAAATGATTCGGGTTATCTGGAAAGCGAATTGGAAAGTTAATTATTTGAGTTAGAGATTAAGAAAGGCAAAAGTTGAGGGCCTTAACACCAGCCTTAACACCAGCAGAGCCACTGACACTAGAGTCAAGCCATTTAGTGTGATAAGCATTAAATTCACCAACAAAAATGATATTGGCTGATGGATAAAGAGAGAGGGCTAGGTCAATTTAATCAGAAATAACATCAAAAGAATGCAGTCTTGAGATAAAGGAGAGTGGTATAGAACAAAGAGAAAGAAGATAGAATGAAGTGGTGCTAAACGAAAGTACATAAAAAAATAGCCGGTGGATTCAAACCTAGTTTTCTGGCAAATGGGTTAATTTTTACGAACGTAAATGCCCAGGGTAAGCATGTGACTATTAGAGTCATTACAAATTAAAGGAAGATAACCATTAATACTAAGATCACAAGATAAGACAGCCGAACTTAAATTAGTCTCACAAAGAGCAAGTAGATCTGGTAAACTTTGCAAGAGATAAGACTCAACAGAAGAAAAGTTACTTTGAAGACCATGAATATTAGTGAATGATAGGTTTAGTGAACTTGGTGATGACAATGGTTTTTTGTTATTTTCAATATTTGGTACTTTAGTCATTTTAAATATTTTAAAGAACTTGAATCAAAGCATAGATAGTACTCAATACACTATTTAATAATCCAATCAAATTGCCCCATTACTATTAATAAACCCTAAGTCGTAACAAAGGGCTCAAAATGTGGCCTCAACAATGCACACCAAAATTACGTCTAGGGATACCTTCCATGCGCAAATGGCACTGTTAATACTTTGATATTTTTTAGCTGTTGATGGAATCAGCCTCTCTGAGAGCTAGAACAGAGTTTGGTAAACTACCGGCCAGCCTAAGAACCATAAACTGAGTTTTAGAGCTGTACCCTCATTAGGAGATAATAGAATGAGTTTTCTAGTCATAAAAACAGAGACACAAGCTATCCCATGCACTGAGTCAAAAAGATCCAGCGTTCAACATCCTAAACTAAAAACATTGTATTAAAAATACATCTGCGCCAGCCTAATAGATGAGGAAGGGGTGCGAGACTGGTCAACAGATACAATCTGTTTACTCCTTAATATATATATATATATATATATATATATATATATATATATATATATATATATATATATATATATATATATATATATAATCATTTTATACTGAACCTGTTTTCAAAACTAAAAATAAGATGAATTTCTTAAAATCATATTTACCTGACCAATACAAACCATGCTTCTGGTTTTTTATTATTTGTTTAAACACATTTTCGCTGGCTTTACTATCTAATGTAATTAATTTGCTGTTCTTTTCTCGGCATTCACGACTTGCGTCAGACCATGCCATCGGAGATTTGTTAACAAAGTAAAGTTTGCCATTTTCCCCCAATGTCCAAACAGTTTCGTCAATATCACTCCTAAGCGCTAAAAAAAGCAAAATAAATTTTTAAATTTTATAAGTTTTAAAACTTTTTTTAAGCTTTTAAATATAAGAAAAAGAAAGTTTAAATAAAGTATACAAAAATAGAGTTTAGTAATTGTATACAAAAATAGAGTTTAGTAATCGACATTTTTATTTTCTCTTCATTTAAAATTTATATTAGAACCAAAGGAGTTAAACTTAAAACCAAATTACTGAAATTTCTTAAAACTAAATTACAACAATAAACTTAAACCTAAGCTTTAGCATTTAAAAATTAAAAAAGAATTATATTAGAATGACACGAGAGAACATCGGAGCATGTCAACAGTGATGGATCCTGGGTTTTTAGGGGAGAGGAAGAGGACAATGAAGTTGAAATACTTTTGTTTCACATTTGCGTCTCCGAAAGAAAAAAAAAAGGTACTCCATTTCTAGGATATTTTTAGATTCTGGTTTGGGGGAGGGGTGAGGGTGGGGGATGAGAGCATACGTTCTTCTGAACTCTCTTTGATTCTCTCTAAACTTTTTAATAAGTACTTGATTAAAATCTGTGGTTCCAATTTTGAAAAACTCTGGTAAATAGTTTGACCCCTTCAACTATCTTCAGATCAGTCTACTATCTGTAGTTAGCAAGCTCTTTGAGTTTGGAGGCGGAGAGGATAGGGCTATTACTCTTGACATACCCATAGCTTTAGAAAAAGTTTGACACGCTGGTCTTCTTCATAAACTTGCTTATTTTGATGTATCTGGGAAAGTTTTTAAGATTATCAAATCATTTCTTTCTAACCGCTTTATTAAAACCATCCGTGTTGACCAACTTACTTCTTCATTATAAGTAAAGTCTGGGGTACCTTAAGGTTCTATCATTGGTCCTGTGTTGTTTCTTATCTACAATAATAATCTTACTGAAAACTTTACATCTAAAATGCCTCAATTCGCTGATGAATCAACTTTATATTAATATCTTGACAAAAAAAATTTCGTCAAAAAATCTCATTTCGGACGCTTAAAACAGGCAGCCGATCTTAATTATGATTTTTCTTTTGTAACAGGGGGTTTGCAGTGTCGTGTGAACTTTAACTCTGACAAAACTTAATTTATTTCCTGCAAAACAATTATCGCAATACTTTCAACACTCTTATATTTAGTGCCGTGGTTAGTTGGTTAGAGACTCCCCTCAAAAAAAAGTGGGTTAGAGACCTTCCCTCAAAAAAAAAACAAAAAAAAACAAACAACCAATTATTAGGGTTCCAATTACTTAATAAAACTTCCGCTGACATTTACAAATCTCTTATTCGCCACTGTATGGAATGCTGTTGTCCTGTTTTGGTTGGCTCTTCTAATAATCCTCTTTATAAACGTTGTTGGACAACATTACGACAATGGGAGAGAGGCCAAACTTAAGCCTCTCTCCCATTGTCGTAAAGTTAAATTTCTTTCTCATCGTATAATGTTGGGTAGGTAGATAAAAAGCGTAGGTACTTTTAGAGAGGTGGAGAGTACTCAAAAAAGCGTACAGCAAAATGTGAGGGAGAGAAAAGGTTGAAATAAAATAAAATACTATATGGACGATCCCTTTCCAAATACAAATATTTGTACTTTAGGATAAGAAAAAATATAAAGATTTTTTCGAGGCAAGACTAATACAACGGTCAATTTAATAGAAGAATGAAAACAAGTTTCCTTACAAATTTTCCTCAAAAAAGCGTATATAATAAATAAAAATAAGCAAAATAAAGCGTACGTACTTTATGGAAGATCCCTTATTAACGGTTGCATACAACTTTGTTGGGAATAAGTCAGAACAATAAAAAAAAACATCTGTATTTACAACGATGAATCGGCCGCTTTTGCTACAATTGTAAAAAAAATGACGGGAAAAGTACTATATTGTCATTCGCTACATTAATGAACCCAAATATCGAACTTTGTGTGTAACAACTTAGAATAAGAAGGATATAAACAACTTTTATATCCTTCATATTCTCCTACCAAAGCTCCTACATACTACCATGTAGATTGTACTCTGAAAAGATAACAAGTGAACAAAATTTATACCTAATTTGTTTAATTTGTTGCCAATATTTAGGAATAGATTTTTGATAAGAAGATGCTTTTAACCGATAGAATCAAGCGTCTTTCAAAAACATAAGAGGATAATGAGTTCAACGGTCACTAAGCCCTGAAATATTTATCTCATTATGTTATTAATAAATACTTATGTTTATTTTTTCAAAACTAATATTGTTTATAAAACGCCTAATAACTCTGCATTTTATTAAGCACATTGAATAACCCAGTTATTCAATGTGCTTCAAAAAACCCAATTATTCAATGTGTTTCACAGACTATGACTTTGCTCTAACGACAGCAATTAATAAATTAACTGACTTACCTGTTCAAGATTATTTATAGTTTTTTTTGACGAATGAATTACTTACCTTCATTATAGTTGTTTGCCATATTACATAAGTTCTGCATTAGTTATTTGGAATATTGTTTATATATGCTGATGTTTATTGGGAGATCTTAATATATTTTTAATTTTTTTCTATATTTTATTTTCTTAATCGTATTTCATATATATTGCATTTGGATTCTTTGCATTTCATAATAGAATACGAGTTTTCAAAAATGAGATAATTGAATATGCTGATAAAGGTGTCCTGTGATGTTTAGTGGATTTCTTAAGAGAGACTAAAATATAAAATTTTGCGGATACGCAATAGAAAATTTTAACGATTTTTGTAACGTCATTAACATTCTACGCTGTTATGTTTTAACGATAAAAAGTTCGACAGTAATTTTAGCTGCCATTTTGTATCAAAAATGGTCAATGATATAAAAAATTAATGATTGATTAAAAATATTTAATGATATGATTGAATAAAATTGCGTAATAGTATATTTTTGAATTTGTTACAAAATCTGTTTCAATTATTCTATTTATTTCAAGAATAGATTTAAAAAAAATCTCAGTTTTCATACCATGACTGACGACAATCATCCATAAATGCCATGGAAATTTACCCATTCAATAAATAGCGCATATTTCGAAAATAAACCAACACAAACCTTTCATTTTTAATTTTAAACGACTTTTCAATTGTGCAACGATGCGCGACCTTTATTTAAACATGCTCAATATATTGTTTTCAATGTATTTCAATCTCTGTTTTCTATATATTTTGAGATATACTATTATCAAAAAAATATTAAATTATGAATTTGAATATTAAATTATATATCTTAAATGTATATAAATATTGAATAACTTTTGCAACTTTCGCATTAGTTTGTTTAATTATTAAAAAACTGAGAATATTTATTAATGATTTAATATATATATATATATACATATATATATATATATATATATATATATATATATATATATATATATATATATATATATATATATATATATATATATATATATATATATATATATATATATATATATATATATATATATATATATATATATATATATATATATATATATATATATATATATATATATATATATATATATATATATGATTCCAATAAATTTAAAATGATGTTTTTAACAAAAAAGTTAAACCTGTCGGAATAAGTGATAAAAAGAATGTGAATTTGAAATATAAAAATGCAATTAAAAAACTCGCTCTGTTTAGTATAATTGGCAGTTAAAAACAACTTTAATATTTTTGTTTTTTTGATTATAAATTTGTATATAAATTATATCAGAGTAATAAATTAAACACAAAAACGATCCTATCAGTTATTTTTTATGTGAATGTACTACTAAGGGTATAACCCCCGTCTTCTACAAATGTTTTTAATTGTCTTTGATTCTATCAGGTTTTTAATCTTTAACAAGAGAAAAAAATCTTTTCTAACAAAGTAACGAATGATTGATTGTATAAACGCGCTGTGGGAGATGCCTACTGAAATGATTAGCCTGAACAAGATCACAGCTTGAGACATTAAATTCTACAAAACGTCATAAGCTTCAGTGTTTGTGGAAGATTACTAGTTATATAATTAACATATGAGCCTGCAATGCTTACATAATTAACATATGAGCCTGCATTGCTTACATAATTGCAGATAAAACTGCTGTCTTTTCGAACAACGATTTTATTAGGTAGTCAACATTTTTGTTGGTAAACACTAATATACAATGATTATCTTGAATGAATTTTTTTTTGGTTGAACCCTTTTTGAAAAAAAAAGCACCCAAATAAATTTAACTCTATAATGCCTAAAACAGACACTAAAAACTTCGTTTTTGATACAAGTAATCTCTTTGACATAAGACAATCGGAAAAAAATCTTTAGCCAAAAAAAAGATAAAAAGACAACCGTGTTGTAATACAACAGGTAATCATTTATTAAATTGTTTAAATTTGTTACTATTAAAACACAATTATTAACAAAAAAAATTAGAATAAAAAAATTTAAAAATGTCTCTTTATTTTTTTTTTTAAACAAAGAGAAAAAAAGTTTATGTATGAAAGTCCGAACTTACAGGACAAATATCTCTGTTGTATTTATTGTAGCGTGGCCAATGATTTTTTTCATAGCATTTTTAAAAAAATTTGAACCCGAGCTTTTGTGTAACCCAAAAGTCATTCATGTTATGAAATTACTTTGATGCGACTATGAGCGAGTTCTGCAACGAAGCATTTTAATTGCTTATATTAAGGATGGGGTCTGGAAATCTAAAAGTAATTGTCAGTAAAGAGTTTAGCGTTGTGTTTATTATACTGCAAAGAGGTCATTTTAATTACTACATCTACACTGGCTCCAAAATTTGCATCTTTTAATTTTTTTATTCATTTAGATAAAAAAAAAAAATAAATAGAAAAAATATGAAATTTTAACAAGGCTGTGGCCTTGTTAAAATTTCACATGCTATAAAGACTCATACCAGAATTCATACATATAAATGCGATATATAAATGTAGGAAGATTAGGGTAATATGAGCATCTTAAGTGAAAACTGGAATTTTAAAAAATAATTATGTTGGATCCAAAATTTTTGCGAAAAAAATTTTTTTACGGGACCCCTCCTCATGATCCATTATGGGCATTATTTTAACAAGGCAAAAAATTTAACAGCGTTTTAATTAGATGATAGCCGCTAATTACTGCATATTAATTTACGCAAATTGTACTGATTCCTGTTATCACCACATGAAGTTACTTTAAAAAGTATAAAGCAACTTTAACTTCACTGCTTACATCTAAGAAATCTTAAACTATCCTCATATTTCCAAGGTGCTCATATTACCCTAATCTACCCTATCTATCTATCTATCTATCTATCTACCTATATATATATATATATATATATATATATATATATATATATATATATATATATATATATATATATATATATATATATATATATATATATATATATATATATATATATATATATATATATATATATATATATATATATATATATATATATATATATATATATATATATATATATATATATATATATATGTATATATATATATATATATATATATATACATATATATACATATATATATATATATATATATATATATATATATATATATATATATATATATATATATATATATATATATATATATATATATATATATATATATATATATATATATATGTATATATATAAATTCATTCAAGTAAACCAATTAATTATAAAAGTGCATATTTCAATAGGTCCTCACTCAATACTTTTACATTTTTCAATGCTGGTATTAAATGCAGACCTTTTAAAATTAGCATTTTTATAATTAACTGTTTTACTTGATTAAATTTGAACAAAAGTTTTGTAATTGAATTAATTTCAAAAAAGAAAATATTTTTATTAACAAGATATATTAAAATCATATTTTATAATCTATTATATAGAAATAATTGTGTTATACAAATTTCCACCCACTTTATGCTTTTATATGTTTTTTTATTTCCGACCAACTGTGTTCCTTGAGTTGAAAAAATAAGAATTTTGAAAATTTTTAATGCCTGCTGTTATTACTATATTTTTACTCTGTCCAAGTTCAACTAAAATAGTTGCTAAGCAACTTTTAATAGAGTATTAGTTTTGATAATTCTTTCTAATGATCTTTTAACTTAAAAAATAACGTATGAAATAAGATTTAAAAAATTAGAATTTTTTTTTACTTCTATTAAACAATGGCGATTTTGTTATATAATTTAAAAATTAGATCTCAAACAGCTTTAAAAACAATATCCGCTAAAATATAGACGTCAATTTTAAATCTAAATTATAAGCGTCAGTTAAAAGCTACAAGAAAATATTTACTGACTAAGCCATGGAGAAATATTATCCAAAAAATGTTTTTACAAGGATTTAGTTTTTAACAATGAAAGCAAAATGGTGTAATCACTTGTTAAAAAATACAATTAGGTTTAGTCTACTTGGAACTTGAAACGAAAATCTTTCTAATTTTTGAAAAATCTGCGATCCCCAGTTGAATTGTTAATACAATTTGTAAAGTAGATTATAAAAAGAAATGTTTAACTTCAGTAGCATTATATTAATCTGCAATTCAGCCACGATTTAATCGTGTAAATATTATTTAGTCGATTCCAATTCATTATGTTTATAAACTTAGCTTCTTTTAGATAAAGAGTTTGTTATATTTTTTAGATGAAACAATCAATTTTGAAAAGCTCTTTTTTGTTTTTGGTTATAATTTGTAAGATTTCTTTTTTCGATAACTTCTTTTATCTACAAAGTTAACGGAATGCATTAGAATACAACATTTTAAAATAACTTTTTTAGATGGCACTATATTGGTAACACACGCTCAAGTTTATTCAAATAAAGGTAAGTTTTTATTTTTACTAAAAATAAATTTTTATTAAAATGTTCTTAAAAAAAATCAAATATTTTTGTCGGCGACTATGAATAATAAAAATGATATCGACGATCCATTAAAAATTAATATATATATATATATATATATATATATATATATATATATATATATATATATATATATATATATATATATACATATATATATATATATATATATATATATATATATATATATATATATATATATATATATATATATATATATATATATATTATTATTATTATTATTATTATTATTATAATTGTTATTATTTATTTGTATTATAAATATTGTAACAAAATGCTTATTTAAAATAAAGTAAAAAGAACAACAAAAAAAAATAAATTAAAAAGTTTATTTTCAGCTTTTTAGTACAAAAAACATATCTTTTAGCTAATGTTTTTGCTATATTTTATTTTCTACTTTTTAGTCTTTATAACGATTTACGGTATTTAACAAGGCGAATTATTGTTATGTAGCATTGTTATTGTAATGTCGCAATACTATTATAAAATAGTGTTCAGACTTGAAGAAGTAAGAGAAAGAGTTGTAATTAAATTCCCAGTAGCAAGCAACACTAAATGTTAACAAAATTGCACCAATCCTAAAATTTCCACACTTTTTTATCTATATAGAGAGCAAACATCGATTTACAATATTGACTATATATAAACTATAATATAGTGCCAACATATGTTTTTATCATAACCAATGAAAAATCTTTACAGTTTTTAAAAAAAGCATCCTGAGGAGCCATTGAACCTGCAAATTTGTCAGCCGCGCCTCAAAATTAAAAAAACTGTTACATCTATGTTACACTACTATACAAACAAGGAAAAAAATTTTAAATTTTTTTTGCGTACAAATAAGGTTATTAAACGTATAAATTATTTGTATGAGTGTATAAATAATGTGAGAGACGATGTAATAAGAACGCACAATAGTACGAATGTACAAATATTAACCTTCTAGAAATAAAACATTAAAATTTACAAAAAAAGTTTTCCTTAGAAGGACTTGAACCCACAACACTATCACTCGCGCCTCAAAAAATGAGCGTTATTACACACGCACCACTTCGCAAATAATTTGAAGAAGTAACAAATAAAATCAATTTTCTAGACAAGTTACTTGATGAAAACATAGTCATAAAAAGAATTTCATTCTTATGTCTATGAATTTCATTCATTCTTATGACTATGATGAAAAAAATCTGGGATCAATGTTATAAAACCTTTTACCGGCGTAAAGTGCTACCGGCGGAAATTTTACTTTAAGATTTTTACAACCGTAAATCGAAAAATGTTTTTCAATTCGATGTTATAGAACTTTCCGCTTCAAATTTTGTAGATATCTATGCCCTGAAAAAATGGTTGTTACGTCTCAAGACAAAACGGTTGTCAAAAACAAAGTGTTTTTGGGTTGAAGTCTTAACAACATTCTGAACCACTGGTTTCTACAACTAAATGTTTTTATCTTTGGATCTTCAACAAAAATTTCCATAGGTCTCTCCTCGCCGGTTAAAAGTTTAATAACATCGAATCCTGGTCAAGTGAAAGAAAAGATTATAAATAAAAAAAGATGAAAAATGTTATAACCATAGACTGCCATAGCAGCAAAACTAATTTATCTGAACTTAAATTTTTGAGTTATTATTTTATTATGTTGTAAAAATACAACAAAATAAAAAAATGTAACATGATAACTATAATAAAATAATTTATTAAAAATGTATTTTTTAGTGGATGAAGTTAATGCTATATCTCAACACAATCAAAAACGGGCAGTATACAACTCGCCACCACTTTTGTCTGACTCAAGTTTATCAGAAAATGCAGAAAGATGTGCATTGAAAATGGCTGAAGGACGCCTACCAATAGCAACACACCCATGTCAGGAATCCGGTGAAAATATTTATCAAACAACTATGGATTTATCATATCCTGTCATTTCAGACAGTAATTTAATAAAAGATGCTGTTGAGGCTTGGTAATAGTTAAAACAACTTCTTTTCCAACTATATTTTTTCAATTTGGTAAAAGTTAAAAGCTATTTTTTCTAACAGTAAAAGTGGATGACTCATAATTTTTTGAAAAAAATTATTGTCATTTGAAAAAAGAGAACATATCATTTTACAAATAGTATTACTTAAATGCCTCGATAATAATAATAAATATAAATAATAAATTATTATATTAAAGTATATATTATGTCAAAACGTCAAATAAATCATAATGAAATAAAAAGTAAAATATCATATAATAAAAGTATTAAATAGTTTGCTGACACTAAACCCATTTTATAAGCAATCGAAAAATATAATTATTTGTAATCAGCGTTAACATCAATTTAAAAATAGAATAATGCTATAAACGTAGGTTAACTTTGACATGTCTTCGATAATTTTTTATTTTTACGTTAACCGGTTCACAATGTCTAAATTATTTTGACAGATTTTAAAGCCATCGGTCGAATGAAAAAATATTTTTATCCACATACAAACAACAACACAACATGGCAAACATATTAAAATTGTTCTTTATTTTAATTTATGCTGAAAAACATTAGTTTTAAGGTAAGTAAAACCAAACTATAATATTTTCTAACAATTTTATAATGTTATTTATAAAAGCATTTTAAATAGTTTTTAATAGAGATGAAGTCAAGAGTTAGAGATGTAGTCAAAAGTCAAAGATGTAGTTAAGACCAATAGCAAAACTAAGATTAAGACATTATGACTCAGGATCAAGACCAAGACTTAAAAAATCAAGACCAATACCAAGATCAAGACATCAAAAAGTCCATGGCCGCCAACTTTTTTTTTGATGTTTCAGTTAGGACATTTTCACACATTGTGCAATCTCCAAACTTAAGTATATATATACCTATGCCAAATGAGGAGACCTTGCAAAAATTTTGGACGGTGGAGGCCTGGGAACAAAAAAGCCCTAAAACATTCCCCTCCCCCCCCCTGCTTAAACGTGAGGGCACTAATGTCGTAAAATTTTCAACTTTTCTATCGTAAACTATATTTAAATTTATCAACAGATTTTAAATTTCGTAGAAAAGTATTGTAAATTACAAAAGTTATGACCATGAAAATTATCCGACCCGCCCCAAAATTAGGGCAATGTAAATTTTGCATGGCCATTACTTTTGTAAATTTAAAATCTGTTGATAAATTTATATATAGTTTACGATAATAAAATTGAAAATTTTACTATCTTAAAATTTTACTATTTTACTAATATTAGTGCCCTCACGTTTGGGCAGTGGGGTTACAAACACTTTAGGGCTTATTTGTTCCAAGGCCTCCGCCATCCCAAATTTTTGCAAGGGCTCCTCATTTGCCAAAGGTATAAACAATACTTAAGTTTGTAGATTGCGCAATGTGTGAAACATCAAAAAAAAAAGTTGGCGCCCTTGAAAAAGTCAAACCAAGACCTAGACCTAGACTTTGAAAACTTTTACAAGTCAAGAGCAAGACTTGGATTCTTAGAGGTTTAACACAACAAGACTCATGCTTACCCATGTACGTATATTACTAGGATTTTAGTTAAAGGTCTCATGGTAATGTGTATATAATAGTAACGTGTATATAAAATGATGAATTACCTAATTAGGAAATTTTATTATTTTACCATTTACGCACATTAGTTTATAACAAAACGTATTTGCACATATGTTATACGCAGTGCACTGTTGCAGTCTACTAAACATTTTTTTAATTATAATAGAAAACTAGCAGATTTCTTCTATAGTTAAAAACAAAATGTACCAATAAAAAAATGATGCAAGATCATCACTCTGTGAAATTATCAATAGCGCACAGCCCTAACCATGGCAAGAGCAGGCATACTATATTTTTTTTGTAACTATAGGAGACATATAAGAGTTACAAAAAAAAAAAAAAAAATTCAAAGATAATTTACATTTTTTATTTAAGTATTATGTATAAGAAATAAAACAGACATCTACGTATCACTTAATTTCATAGCTTAAATAACACCTTAATCCCAGTAGTAACAATTAATTATTAATTACTAATCTATCCATTGTGTTGAAAGTTTTTGTTAGAATCAAAAAAATGCAAGGCAGTATAAATCCGAGACCAAGACCAAGACTCCAGACCATATATATATATATATATATATATATATATATATATATATATATATATATATATATATATATATATATATATATATATATATATATATATATATATATATATATATGTATATATATATATATATATATATATATATATATATATATATATATATATATATATATATATATATATATATATATATATATATATATATATATATATATATATATATATATATATATATATATATATATATATATATAAAGAATCTAGTGAAAAGTTGGCGGAATGCCTGCTATCTGATGAATCCCTCGCATAATTAAATAAAACGGAATTAAGCAAAATTGAAATAACCCAAAAAATTCAACTAAAAAATAAAGCTACCAATAAACTGAATGTCACTGAACAAATCCAAGACTCTTGTGGTAGAAAATAAAAATTGACTGGTGAACTAAACATTAACAAAAAATTGACTTGTGATAGTATTGGATAATTTTGATGAGATCTAAACATTAGAACTTATAAAAATTTGTTGTGTTGTTGTCTTTATGATATTCATTTTAATCGCTAAAATGAATATCATAAAGAAATCAAAAAACAACTGATGGTTGTGATAATTATGCTAATAAATAATTGGTGCTTATATATTAAAAATCTTTTCTCTGTTTTGATTTTCAAAAATACTTTGATAATGTAATAATGTAAATGTAATATTAAAAGGATAAAAAAAAATACTATCAATTCTATTCAACATATGGGTAACTTTTTAACAGAAAAATTATCAATAACCTATTAATTGCATTAATGCATTATAATGCACCTATTGCATTAATGCATTATAATGCACCTATTCTTTATCTCATATGGAAGCAATACCATTGGTATTTTTATAAGGAAGCAATATCATTGTGAAACACATTAAGCATTGTATATCAAAGTAAATTTACTAAAAATGTGTCTATGTTACCTCACTTTAACTTATAAACGTATAGTATACGTTGTTATCCGACGTATAATATACGACAAATATTACACACTGTTTATACACGTTTATTTGACAACGTATGCATGCTATACGTCGAATGAACGCATATTTTACATTGTATAAATGTATGTGAACATTGTATGTAAACTAATTCTGTTATAAAAAATGTTAACCCCTAACTAAAGAGTTTTAAAATTTTTATTATAATCAGGCCCGTAGGAACAAAAATTATATGGGCAGTGCTGAATTATGGGGGGCAGTGCTGAATTAAGGGGGGCAGTGCTGAATTAAGGGGGCCTGAAATAGTTTTTAGGACCTTTTTTTGTTTTTTTTATTTTTTGTAGTCATTTTTTTGGTCAATTTTTTCAAAATTATTAAACTTAAAAAATTCATAAGGGGCAAATGCCCCTGTTGTCCCTCCGTTTGTTAACGGGCCTGAAAACATAGTTGTTGAATCATTTTTAAAACAAAAAAACAAGAGTGAAGCTATTAAGTTAACAAATTAATGTGTAGGTATGCAGAAAAAACACGAATGAAGACAATCAATTATAACGTATTTGATGAACAATGGCTTGTAGGAATGTCTAACAATGATTTATTGAGTACTGGACATTTCATGCAGGTAAACAGCTAAAATAGTTTATTGCAATCTTTATTAAGTAAAAGAAATCAGCTGATGCTTCTATTCAGGTAACTTTTATAAAGCAAGTTGTGTAATTTTATTTTTAAACATCAAGTTTACGCAAAGTCAGGTATACAAAAAAAAAAAAAAAAAAAAAAAAAAATGCGTCTATAATTTGATTTTAAATTGAATCTTATAAGATAAAAATTTGTCTCAAATCACATAAGCGTTGTTGGTTAGTTTAAAAATGGGGAACCTATTCATTAATGCTAATCCTTATGTGGTGGTGTCCTGTAATAAGACCATTAGACATTAGAACTTACATAAATATAGATACATACATACATACATACATACATACATACATACATGCATACATACATACATATTTTTATTTTTTATTATATATAAATATTTTTATATTTATATATATATATATATATATATATATATATATATATATATATATATATATATATATATATATATATATATATATATTTAAACAATTTAAAATGTATATATATATATATATATATATACATATATATATATATATATATATATATATATATATATATATATATATATATATATATATATATATATATATATATGTATATATATATATATATATATATATATATATATATATATATATATATATATATATATATATATATATATATATATATATATATATATATATATATATATATATATATATATATATATATATATATATATATAAGTTCTAATGTCTAATGGTCTTATTACAGGACACCACCACATAAGGATTAGCATTAATAAATAGGTTCCCCATTTTTAAACTAACCGACAACACTTATGTGATTTGAGACAAATTTTCATCTAATGAGATGCAAAGATATTCTAGTTTTAGTATATAGGACGAATAAATGAAGTATATAATTAGAAAAATAATATTTGTACCGTTAACACAGCGATATAAGAATCCAATAAGCATTGCTAATATAATTTTAAGATTAATAAAAATAAAAATTTTAAAGTAAAATAATACACTTTTATTTGCATAAAAGTGTATTATTTTACTAGAGGCATTGTATTTTTATCAAAAATTAACTTATATTGTAAAGGGCTTAATGACAAGATCTTTATGATCTTTTAGAAGTCCTGTCGTTACTAATGTCAAAATTGTAAAATATACCTTGTTATTGCAATATTTTTAAACGGCAAAATATATATTGTAAAAAAAAAAATAACAACAACAACAACAACAAAAAAATAACAAATAAGTAATAATGCCATCAAAGCGCGAAAAAATGATATCCTAAATAAGGATGTTAAAGAGTTTGAAAACAAAAATATATTTTTATTTCTTTTTATTTTTTTTAAATTATTTTTCTATATTTATATTATTTTGTGTTAAGCATTTTTAAAGCCATTCATATAAAATAGATTTTTAATAATTTTAATAATTCTTTTTCGCAAAAAAAAAGTCGATAAAGTAAAATTTAATTATTAAATCTTATAATTTTAGATTATAAGTTATAATCGGATAAACTGAGATTTTTTTCTTCTTATTCAGATTATTTGGAAAAGCGTTAAATCTGTTGGTTGTGCTGTATCTTATTACACAACTGAAGTAAATCGAGTTTACTATGTTCTTTGTCGATATTCACCAGCACCGTTTTTAAAAGTTCCAAGTGAACGCGTAGCTAATTTGCCATCATGTAAGTTTGTTCCTTTAAAATAAAAATATATATAAAAGTTTTCAAGGCATTTCAAGGCATAGACAGAAAGCATCTTCATATGGAAGAGACATAAAAAAAGTTAAAAGAATGTTTTTTTTCTCAATTTATAATTATCATTTTTTTATTTCATTTTAAGTTGTTGTGAGCCACTACTGGCATAGCCACTATAACTAGTATTTTTGGGTTAATTTTATTTTGCGTATGTTGACGTACCTGGGTTGTTTATCAATGTCTACCAACATCTCGTGCGGCCGTGGCGCAGTGGTTAGAGCGCTTTCTTTATAAGTAGGAGATCCAGGTTCGAAACGAGCTTTGGACTTATTTCGCGTCACGGTAAGGAAGAAGGCGTGAACTTCCTGGTTAAATGCACTTCCGCGGTGCTCTGTGACAAGACCGTTAGGACATTTTGGCGCACCTAAGTAGCAAATTTAAACAAATAAAATATTTCTATTTTAATGTTTCGAACTTTAAATGTGACCAACAACGCGTTGTTTTATTTTTATTTCTTTTTTGGGTTACTAATTAATAAACTTAAATGGGTTATTACTCTGCCACGACACTATGTTAATATTTTCTTTTTATTGTTTTTATTTTCAAAAATTCATTGTTTTTATTTTTTATATTCTTTTCTAGTTATAACTATTTCTGCACTAAAAAAAGAATAAATAGAAAAACACTCAATGTATATGTTTTTATTTATAAAAACATTTAGTTTTGTGAATAAACTAGTTTGGTTTTAATTTCTTTATTAACTTTATTTATTTAGCATCTTTATCAATGTGCGAAGATTCGCCAGGCTGTAAAAATGTAGCAAATGCAGCTACTTGCCAGAAGTACGAAAAAACAAGAGAAAAGTGCAAAAAGTCTTGTAAATTGTGTTGACCATCGTCAATGCGCAGCCTAAAATTTAACATTTTTTTGGATTTTGTGCATATCATAAAATTTATTTCTCAAGCTTTATTGTGGTTTATCTTTATAAATTAAACAAGATGTTTTATATTGCCTTTTTCAATGAAAAAACAACGCCGATACAAAGACGATATAAAGATAAAAGTTAACGTATGATTTTGCAGATATAAATATAATTATTTTATTTAGCGCGATTATGGGATTGATATGCAAATAAACATCTCAACGAAAAAATCTAAAATAAAACTTCTTAACAACGCAAGTTAAAGAAAAAATCTAAAATAAAATTTCTTAACATCGCAAGTTATTATAAGGTTGATATGCAGAAAATTACATTATGTGGCGTAGGCAAATGTTTTTCCATGTCTGAGTAACTTTTTCTTATATTTTTAGGATTTTTTTTTGTTGTATTCCTTTTTTTAATGACATTTTCTCATATTTCTGATTAATTCATTACTTTTTTTGATAAATTCTTTATTTTTAAATTGTCTGACAAGAAGTTTTAAACGTTCAAAAACTGTAAATACCTGTAGCCCTTCGTTAAATTTAAATATTGCACATATTAAAATTCAACAAAGATAAAATCTTTCTTCCAAAAAAAATATTTTTGGGTTTTTTTCTTCCATATTATAGAATTTAAAGCTTCATTGTTGTTTTGGCTTTGTAAATATTTGGAAAGTAACTCGTCGCTTGAAAGATCATGAAAAATTGGGAGAAGAACAGCTTTGATTGACTATGGTTTATTCAATGTGGGTTTGTATTTGTTTTGATTATTAAATCTATCTGTTTGCCACAAGCACCAACTGTTTTTGGATTTAGGACAAAATTGATGGCGTTCGATGGGCTTACTTATGTTACTATTATGAAATAACACAGCCCAAACAGATTTCTTCATCGGGTATAAGTTTATTCTGCTTAACTGCCATTCCATTTATTTCTGCCCAATTTAATTTTTTTCCATCACCTAATATTTTTCCCTTCATACTTTAAAGCAAACTGCGGCATCGTGTACCTAATTGCTAGTGAACCTGGCAGAAACATTCTAATTTTTAAATTGTAGTTTCTTTGCTATTTTTAAATTGTAGTTTCTTTGTTAGTTTATTATTATACTAATGTTGATGATTTAAAATGTATTGCAGCTGACAAATCCTCATTCAATGTATTTCATATCAATATCTCATCACTCTCGAAACATTTTGACGACCTTAAAAATCTACTCCAATCAACAAAACTTGAATTTGACATAATTGGTATATCAGAAACCAGGCTGAATAAAAACAGGCCTCAAACTAGCAACATAACACTTAATGGGTATTCCCATGAACACACACCATCTGAATCACAAGCAGGTGGTGCATTATTATATATAAATAACAGACTCGCCTATAAACCCAGAAATGATCTCCTCATCTATAAACCAAAAGAGCTAGAATCTATCTTTATTGAAATCGTAAATCCAAAAAAATCTAATATTATCGTTGGCTGTATCTACAGGCATCCAAAAATGTCTTTGGACAACTTCTTATCCTTCTATCTTAATCCTTTACTCAAAAACTTAACAAAAGAAAATAAAACTATATTTATTTTGGGAGATTTTAACATTGATTTGTTAAAATGTGACACAGATTTGTATGCTAAAGACTTTTTAGACTCACTCACCTCAAATTACATTCTTCCTCACATTATCCATCCTACTCGTATCTGTAAAACATCAAAAACATTAATTGACAATATCTTCTCAAATATTAAATCAAACAAATATAAAGCTGGGAATCTTACCACCACAATCTCAGATCATCTTCCCCAATTTCTAATAGCTTATATTATTCTTAACCCAGTAAGCACAGGACGTTTTTAAAACGTTTAAAAAACTTATTAAAACGAATATTAACGTTTTTTAAACGTTTTAAAAACGATCTGTGCTAACTGGGAAACCACCACCTAGCAAAAAGCTTCTAGCCCAGGAAAGAAACTGGAAAAGTTTCAATGAAGTATCATTTAAACACAATTTTCTCAAAACTATTATAGATAAAGAACCAAAAATATACCCTGATAACTGTACTCAGTCTCTCGAGAATACTATCTCCAATATTAATTTGTTGCTTGATATTCACGCGCCTTTTAGAAAGCTTAACAAAATAAAATTTAAATTCAAGACTAAACCATGGATATCTGATGAACTCAAGCACTCTATACAGCACAAAAACAAGCTCTTCAAAAAATATATTAGGTCTAAAAATCAAACAAATAAAACCATATTCCACAATGAGTATAAAGTATTTCGTAATAAACTCCAATCTAAACTCAAAGAAAGCAAAAAAAAATTACTTTGATAATTATTTTACGGAAAACATAAAAAATATAAAGGCAACCTGGAAAGGTATCAAAAACATCATTAATATTAAAAGCAACTCTCACACAACTCCTAATGTAATCGTACATAACAATATAACAATAACAAACCCCTTTGATATTTGTAATACATTCAACAACTACTTTACTGGCATTGGTAGGGATGTCCAGGCAACAATTCCTTCATCCATGAATCATTTCACATATTACTTATCAAATCCTGCTCAAAAATCTTTTTTTATAAAACCTACTGACGAACATGAAATCTCTAAAATTATCGACTCTTTAGACTCAAATAAAGCTTCTGGACCAAATGGTCTACCAGTTAAAATTCTAAAACTATTAAAAACTGAACTTTCAAGAATTCTTTCTAACATTTTTAATACCTCATTCTCAAGCGGTATTTTCCCAGAAAACTTAAAAACTGCCAAAGTTATACCTATTTTTAAAAATGATTCAAAACTAATAATGTCAAACTATAGGCCAATTTCCCTCCTCTCCAACATTGATAAAATTCTTGAAAGGCTAATGTTTAACCGCTTATACGAATACTTTAATGAAAATAAACTGTTTTGTGATCTACAATTTGGTTTTCGAACAAACTACTCTACATCACTTGCTTTACTAAGTCTAACAGAAAAAATTAAAAATTCTCTAGATGAAGGAATGTTTGGATGTGGTATATTTATTAATCTTCAAAAGGCACTTGACACTGTAGATGTTGGCAATCTACTCTATAAACTATCCTACTATGGTATTAGAGGAGTTTCAAACTCCTGGTTTAAATCTTTTCTTACTAATAGAACTCAATTTGTATCTATTGGTGGAGTGAACTCAAACTTAAACAATATCAAAGTAGGTGTTCCTCAGGGATCTGTCCTTGGCCCTTTGCCGTTTCTTATTTATATAAATGACATGTCTAAAGCATTAAAATTTCGTCGAGTCCAACACTTTGCAGATGACACAAACCTTCTCTACTTTAATAAATCTTTAAAAAAAATCAACAAATATGTTAACTATGACCTTAAGAAACTATGCAATTGGCTTAATGCAAACAAAATATCCCTCAACTCCAAAAAAACTGATTTAATATTATTTAAAAGTCCCCACAAAAAATTAGACCAACAGATCAAAGTTAAATTAAATGGGAAAAAACTTTATTGTAAAAAGTTTGTTAACTACTTGGGTATAAAGCTAGACGAAAACTTAAACTGGGCTTATCATTATAACGATATCTCTAATAAGTTGAATAGATCCCTTGCCATTCTATCAAAGCTAAAACATTTCATTCAACAAAAAACTTTAAAATCTATTTACTATGCTTTATTTCACTCTCACCTCACATATTGCCTTTTATCATGGAGTCAAAATATGAGTATTATTAATCGTCTATTTATCATGCAGAAAAAAGCAGTCAGAATTATTGAATTTCTTCCAAAAAATTCACATACATCCACATCTTTTAACACATTACATATCTTAAAAGTACATGATTTAATTAAAATTGAAAATTGCTTATTTATTCACAGCTGCCTTAATAAAAAACTGCCTCCTATATTTGATGAATGGTTTACTCAACGCAGTGCAATTAGCAGCCGATTTACAAGAAATTCTTGTAGCGGTGCACTGAGTGTGCAAACATATAATACAAAATCCTATGGTAAACAATCCTTTAAATACTCTGCAATAATGAACTGGAATCAACTTCAAAATAAATTAAAAACAATCCCTTTTTGCAATATTAAAAAATATACTTTCAAAAATAAATTAAAATACTACCTGATACATCAAGATAATTTAAAACAATAAATGAATCGTTGGTGATAAAAGATTTATGGCAATAGAAGTTATAGGAGATATGATATAAATATGAATGTTAAATAATAGCAACCTTATGTAAATGTATTAGCTAGCTTGTTTGTTTGTTTGTTTGTTTGTTTGCTTGTTTTTTTTTTATGTTTTGTTTTTCTTTCGTTTTTGTTTTGCTCATGGTCGCTCTCCTCGATTTAGCCAGGCTATATGAGAGTGAACCATCCAGAATATAGGCTATAAATATTTTTTTTTTAATTTGTATTTTATAACATGCTTATTGTAAAACATCTATATTCTTGGTAAATATATTGCTTTTTGTTGTTGTTGTTTGCCATATGGTTTAGAAGACTTGACTTCATTAAAAGATGACGTGTCACCATCATCAATATATGAAGTGTAACGCAAACTATAACTTTTTACTGATCGAGAAAACATCAAAATTGCACCAGCAGCTTCCGTAGAAGCTGACGATTTTTTGTCGTTTGCTTGGGAGAAATGATTTGTTTGCCAGTTGAGGTACCCTATTTTTTTTCCCCTTTTCACATGACACATCTTTCGCAATATTTGGATAAAGCTGCTGTGTCTAAACACGTTCCAAACACCGTTTATTGGCGATGATTATTGAACACCCACGTTTTCGCCATGACCATCAACTGAGACCTGGCATTTTATAGCGTTATCAAAAAACTTTTGATAACAATAGCACTATAAATTTTTATAACGATGCAGCTTCAGAAGGCATGAGCAAGGCTGCTTTAGAAACAAAGAATTTATTTTTTACCAATATATTGGTAGCAAGTAAACTCTTTGTTTCTAAAACAGCATTACTTTGTTTCTAAATCATGCTTTCTGAAACTGCATCGTTATAAAAAGTATATAATTTATTATTTGATATCCAGAAAATATAATGTTGGCATGTTTATAATGTTTGCAAATGTACAGATTCCCTGATAACCTTGACTAATCTAACGAAAAGATATAACCATTTAATAGTTAATGCTGCTTACAGATTTTCCCAAAGTAAGTTTATTTACTTTCTGTGAACCTTCAAATTCATATTTCCAGTCACAATTTGTGCAAGTTAAACATAGACGATACGAAAATCCCTTTCTCTTTTGAAAATTATTTGATAAAGTTACTGTTTTCCTACATTTAAGACAAAAAATAAATTTTACAAGCTCATTCTGAAGTATCGAAAAGTTTATTAGAATGTTATAATCATTGTTTTGTTTAAAAGAGCTACTGCATTTCTTGTTTTTAAGGTGAGTAAAAGCAAATGCTTTATTCTATTCACCCGGCCTATTAATTAGTTTTTATATTCTAGCGCAAGTTTTGAGCAATTTACGCAAGAATATTTTACGATAACACAACGTATTGTGCAAAAGTTGTACATGAAAAACCAGCCGTAATTCACTTTTAACACTTTTTTTATATCGAATTTTTTTTCTAAATATTTTTGGAAATGAATTGAATTTATGGGATTTTAATAAACATGTGGTTAGTTTTAATATTTTTTATTAAAAAAAAAAAAAAGCAACGGACTTTCTCTGTATTTTTGAAAGTGAATAAAAAAATATTTACTATCAGTTTAGTTGAGTTGCAATTCAACTGTTAACTACGCTGCTTATAGTATGAAGCCGCTAATTATGACAAAAGTATAATATGAAGAAGGTAACCATGAAAAAATATATAATATAAAGACGGTAATTATGACAACAATTATATAGAAAATCATCCTAGAAAAGGACGTTTATAAATAGTTCTAGAAAATTTGATACAGGATTTCAAATGAACAAATTTAAAATTATACATAAAATAACAAAATTAAACGAAAAAAAGTCTAAATAAAAAAACAAAACAAAAAAATTCGAAAAAAAAAAGTTGTCAAATTAAACCTAAATTGAGAAAAAATAAAAATATTCATACTATACAATGTAGTTAAAAAAACACGCAAAGTTACGATTGTGTCCCCTTTACGATTAAAAAATATTAAGCGTCTATGTTATGACACTAATGACTTGTTACACATGTTATAAATCTGGACAACAAATAGCTTTTATAATCAAAAACTAACGACTTCCTTCTTTTTTCCAACAAGCAACTTTGCCATGTCCAGCGCGGATTTTTATTGTTGCAGACTCACAATCTTTTACGACATACCTCGCAGAAGCCATAAGGTTTTCAGCGCAACCCACTAACATCTCTGTGGCTTCGAGGTCTGCTTGAGGATCTAACAAAAAAAAAAAAAAAAAAAAAAAAATATTATATATATATATATATATATATATATATATATATATATATATATATATATATATATATATATATATATATATATATATATATATATATATATATATATATATATATATATATATATATATATATATATACATATATATACATATATATATATATACATATATATATATATATATATATATATATATATATATATATATATATATATATATATATATATATATATATAAAATGTATATATATAATTTATTCAAACGTCTTTTTCGAGTTTATATGAAGAAAATGATACCGTTAGCGCCAAACATTGTAGCTTTAACCGTGGCAAGAATCTTTAACTGTGTTGCAATTGTTGGAATACGATCAATTGTCAGTTCCAATTCCTAATAAAGAATTTAAATGTTTTAACAGAAAAATTATATTTAAATATTAATTTTACACAAAAATTTCAGTTTACCTAACAACAAAATCAGTAACATTATTTGAAAAAAAAATAAAAAAACAACAACAACAAATGTACTTACAGCCTTCATGCGCTTGTCAGGACAGTCTTTTGCTATTTCTCTGGCACGTTTAACAAGTTCTACACTGGCTCTAGCAACTCCTTTAGCAGTCTCAATCAACTCTCTTTTAGAATGAGTGTTAAAATGATCTTCATCTCTAAAAAAAACAATTGATTGTAAGTAAAAATTTTTTTTTAAAGGAGACACTAAAACAAAACCAAAAAAAAAACTTACGTTATAAATTTAGACATTTTTGCAAAAAGCATAGCCATCTGACGTGCAGCTTGAATAAGAGAATTGCCTTCCTCTTCCCATTTGCTAGCTTCAACATGAAGTTGATGAGCAGCAACCTATATATATATATATATATATATATATATATATATATATATATATATATATATATATATATATATATATATATATATATATATATATATATATATATATATATATATATATATATATATATATATATATATATATATATATATATATATATATATATATAAATATATATATATATATATATATATATATATATATATATATATATATACACATACATACATACTTACATACACACACACACACACACACACACACACACACACACACATATTATATATATATATATATATATAATTTAAATATATTTATTTATATAATTTAAATTTATGATATGCAAACTGCATAACATAACTAGTAAAATAATTGGAAAAATGTTTTACAGCCATTCGATTATCTGCATCTGGAACATTTTCCAAAATGGATCGCAATTCTCGAGATTCATCAGCTTCTATTAACCCTTCAACAACTGGAAATGCAACTGGTGGTGGTGGACGTGCAGGTCCAAGATACTCTACCTCATGTTTATCAGCTAGATGCAATATATATATATATATATATATATATATTATATATATATATATATATATATATATATATATATATATATATATATATATATATATATATATATGTTTATTTGTGTCTAATAATGTAATGTTTATTTGTGTCTAATAATAATGTAAATAAACTTAACATTTTTACTTTAATTCTAGAATAATATAAAAATATAAGTGTATAATGACTGAATAGTTTTTTTAAGTACTTTACCAATTTTAATTTTTGCCATATCAGGTAAAGGAGGAAGAGGTGGGGCAGTGTCAAGTGCATTTTTAACCTCAACAATTCTTCCAATGAGCTAAATGTTTTGTGCATGATTTATAGAATTTTTAAGAAATTTACAGTAACAAAACATATAAAATAAAAAATAAAACAAAAAAAAGATGACAAATCATTTGTAAACAATAACTATTTAATAAAGATTACAAGAATTAAAGTTCTTATTTTTTTAAGAGAAAACAATCTTATCATCCGTATTCATAATGAAAAAAACCTACCTCATCACCAGTGTTCTTAAACTCAATCTTAACTTGGACTGATTTCGGATTAAGAGCAACATTTTTAGTACATTGTACTAAAGGAGAACTACCTAAACAATGCATAAATTTTTTATATATTGGCAATATTCAGAAAAAAACTTATAGTATTTTTTTTTAATGTAATATAAATTAAAAAGATTCGTAAAATGAATTGTGATAAAGAGTTATGTTGGTTTATTGTAATTTAGAAAACTAGAGCTTAGTACTTTCTCGCAGTCGAGCAACAGAACTGTTAACATTTTCTTGAAATTCTGGATCAAGAGAATTTTCAGCTTCTGCACTAGAAACTTGAATGACTCGATTAGCCAAACGAACCATGTTGCCACCTTTAGATACAACAACCTTTTGACAAAAAAAAAAAAAAAACAATAAATAAATTTGCACAATTTTTTTTCAAGAATAAATCTAACTCACAGATGGGTTGAATTGCTCTAGTCCCACCATTGCATTTTCTTGCTCTTTTCGAATAGCAGCTTCACTCTCCTTCACAAAATCATAGGCATCAGTAGCAGTATCAACAAGAGCTGTAACTTCCGATGCTTTTTCAATCCAATGGTTTTTAAGGTTATCAAAATGAAGTTCTATAGTTGGATTGCCAGGGTTCAAAAGCAAGAGTTTACCTGCATGCGAGACTTGAGGAGTAATTTCTGCTAACTGGTTTGGTAAGAAATTTAAAAAAAGTACATAAAAAAAAAAAAATTTAAGGACAACAAAAATAAACCCATTTTGTATATTACTGTTAAAACTACATACATCATTTGCAGCTGAGTGAATGTTGTAAAACAGCTGCTTATTAGCATGCTTTCCATGCACTGCAGTTTGCTCTGCACTCTCGATAATCTTACTTGTATGATATTCAAATGCGCCAGCTTTCTCTTCAAACTCTTGGTCACGATTTGGAGTATCTAAAATAGTAATTAAATTTCATTAACAACAAATTATTAATTCGCGTAATATTTGTTTTTCTACTATTTATTTTTGTTATTAAAGAAAAACCCTAGAGTTTATGACAATTTAAGTTTACAATTATTGAGTTTATAATTTTGCATTAACAGGTTCTATTATTCCAATCATTATAAACTTCCAATTATTATAAATTTGATTTATAAAAAAGTCTTGCAATACATTTTGGAGTATACTCTCTTGCAAATCTAAAGTTGTGATATTTTTTTTGTCAAATACTTTTTTACATGATAAAAGTAAAAAGGTATTTGACAAAAAAAATATCACAACTTTATGTGCTTGCTTCATAAGCGAGAGGTTCTGAGTTCGATCCCCACCATGTCCCTAGTAGTACCGCGCTCAACTCAACTCCGTGCAGCCTTGTTCGTCAAGGTACTTATTTTGGAGTTATAGAGTTGAGAGAGAGTTATGACCACAAAATAAGTAGCCTCCTCGTCTGTAGTGGCCTTTTTGGCCTTGAGATGAATTAACAAAAAAAAAAAAAAAAGGTAGAAATAGAACCATTTTGTTTGCTCATTATTGAATCTTTTCCAAATTATTTGTTGGCAAGGATTCCAAACATGTTGTATAAACATGATCTTAAAAGTGATGGTCATAATACTTTCATGGTGCAAAAATTCAAATTTCTAAAAGCTCCATTAATTATCCCCAAAATTTATTTTGCACTGTTTGCTGCTATTATAATTTGATCATGCCATTTTAGCTTTTTTTTTTTATAAGAATACCCAGATCTCTCTCTATTTCATTTTGTATAGCTCTCTATGCTCATTTTTATAAAATCATTCATAGAATATTTGAATTTTTTTTTTAAAAAGTGCATAACTTTATTTTTTTTTTTATTGCAACACATACATTATTTATATGTCCATTGTTGCATATATATATTATCTTGAAGCTTTAATCTCTCTGATTCGATGTTAACTGAAGCAATTAATTTAGTATCATTGGAATAAAGTTTTAATGGAAATCTTGATGTATCTTGTTAGGGATTTGTAGAGATAAATCTTTACCTCTACAAATCTTTTTTTATCTTTTAGATGTAGTTAGACCTGCTCTATCAGCTATTACATTCTTATAAGGTTGCATCTTTTTTTCATAATCGCAGCTTAAAGCAGCTATCATCTCTAGTTCCACCAACCAAACCTCATTCTCGCTTGTCATTCTGCAAAGCCGTATCCTTTTACTGTATCTGTCTCTTAAAGCTCTAAAAAACTTATTCATTTAGTTTTTTCCTTAGTTAGTAATTTAGTTAGTTTTTTCCTTGCACATTAATGCTTTAGAACTCCAACCTTCATTCCCAATCAAACTTGTCTTCATTCCCAATCAAACAAACTACAACTAATGCCTAATTCTATCAGTTTCCTTGCTCTTTAATACTATTCTTTATTTTTTAGTAACTTAATAGAGTTTTCTTTCGGCATTTTTGGGAGTGAATTGGTTAAAAAAATATTACACAGATATTTGTATATACATGTGTGTATGCGCGCATATTAGGGGGAGTCAAAAAAAGTAAATTTTTAAAGCAAAAAAACCATACCCCCTAAATTTGGTACAAATATTTTGAAAACAAGCCTCAAAAAGTTTGAGCGCTCCCGGACCACTTTTAACCCCCCCCCCTCAAGCCTAAAATTTAGGGGAAAAAAGACCGAAAAGTGGCCATTTTTGGAGGTCTTGAGGGAGGGGTTATATATATTTTTTTTCAATTTTTTAAAATTTACTTACTATACGAAGGTCTTTATTTTAGTTTAAAACTGTATGGTTTTTTTATTACCCCTCAAAAATCTATGTTTGGTGGTATTGAAAATCATAAAAACTGGTAATTTTTTGCATTTTCTTCTGTTACGCCTATTGTTGTATAGTTATATTTTGGTACAACTTCTGAAAATTTTAAATTTTACATTTTTCTAATAATTTAAGATTAGTACATAAAATAAATATATTAGAAAAGAGTGAAGCTAAACTAAGGTCAATGAAAAAGGAACATTTTATTATAAAAGAGGCAAAACCAGCTATATCAGATTGAATTTTTTTTTTTAATACTGTAATTAGTAATGATTCGTTTTGGAATTATTAATGAGACATTTTTTGAATGGTTCATTTGCAATTCTATATCAATCAGGTGTTGACCTTAAAGAAGTTAAAAGCAGTCAGTCTACCGCATATAGAAAAATGAAAAAAGAAAACAAAAACATATCAACAATTGCAAAAGAAGATGTTAAAGTAGCCATTGATGCATCTCCATATCTATGTATAATTCATTTCAATGGCAAGACATTGTTTGAACTAAACAAAGGAAAAATATTAAAGAGGGATAGAATGGCGGTTTTAGTTAACATTAATGGAGATTCTTACCTACTTGGAGTACCTCCGCTGTTGTCATCCACCGGTGAAGATCAATTTTGTGGTATAATAGATTTAATTAAAGAATATCAACTTACATCAAAAACTCAAGGAATATGCTTCGATACAACATCATCCAATACTGGGAAGAATAAAGGGTTTGTTTGAAGAATATCTAAAGAACTGGATAAATATCTCCTCCATATAACCTGTAGACATCATGTGAACAAACTAAGAATGCTTCACTTGGAAATTAGTGACCAATGATAAAAAGAATGGACCTGATAATCTTCTTTTCAAAAAATTAAAAAATATTTTTGAAAAACCTAATTTTAATTATAATCCAATTTAACTCTTACGGTTTGATTGGAATAACGTTAAAAGCAATCTTTTAAAGAAGGCATTGAGAATTCATTAACATTTTGCATACAGTTTGATAGAGATGATAGAGGTAAGCTTGCAGAATTAGTTGTCACCTACTTATCCCCTGTTACCTATAAAGTAAGAAAAACAGATGCTATTCATCATGCAAGTTTTTTAGGAATAATTTATTATCTAAAACTTCAACTTCTATCCAACCAATTTACATTTGTTCTAGAAAAAAATGAACTAAAAACTGAAATTAGGCTTATTACAGAATTTATTATTTGCTTTTATTGAAAATGGTATTTACAATCTGAGGATGTCATCAAAGCTCCTTTTCTTGATATTACAGTCATACATCAAATGCATCTGTACAAGAAGGTATGTACAAACCCAGCTGCTGTTGATCCTGTATTGGAATCTCAGTAAAAACATTGTTGGTATTTGGACTCAACAATGATACCTCTAGCTTTGCTAGATGATGATTTAACATTTGAGAAGACAAAAATTGCATCAGCAATTCTTTTATTTGACATGCCTAGCTCTGACTATTATAAGCTTGAGAACAAAGTAAAACAAGATACCAAGAAAATTTATAAAATGAATATAAATATTGGAAAAAAACCATCATCGTTGTCTGCCTTTTCTTATTTATTTAATTAGGTTTATTATATTGTTAGTTACTTAGAGTTAATATTCATATATATATATATATATATATATATATATATATATATATATATATATATATATATATATATATATATATATATATATATATATATATATATATATATATATATATATATATATATATCAGGCTTTCACAGGAAGACGTGCGATTTCATGTCTTTATATGACAACGCAAGTTACATTTTGCTATGACGGTTTGACCGCGGCTAATTCAAATAACATCTTAGAAACGCGCTAAATAAAAAATATTCTAAAAAAGTGAAATTAATTACATCAAAACTTCTTAACAAATGTTTTTATATTAGCGAAACGATTTTAAATAAAGTAACAATTTACTGAAAAAAAGTTTTGGTTTTTAAATATAAATGACAGTTTTGTATATTTTTTTAATTTAAAACATATAAATTGTTTAAGTGTTCATTTCTAAAATAAATCTTATTAAAAAATAAAAAATTGTTTTGTTTATATAAACGATGACATTCTACGACTACGAAAGTCTCTTTAACGAATTTAAATATAAGAATGATTAAAGTTAATGCATTTAAAAAGATAAACAAAATTTCGTTAAAAAAAAAGTTTTAGAAAACCCTTACAATTTAATAAGTTTGATCTTAAATGCTTTTTTATTATCGAAACGCTTTTAATGAATTAAAAAAAAAAAAAAACACTTCTAATTAATTTAAAAAAAAGTATCTATAAAATGTTTTTTTATTTTATTTATATAACTATGTATTTTTTGAGGGGGTCAAAAGTGGTCCGAGAGTGCTCAAATATTTTGAGGCTTATTTTCAAGTTATTTGCCCCAAATTTGTATGGTTTTTTTGCTTTGAAAATTTACTTTTTTTGACTCCCCCTAGCGCGTATGTGATCAAATAAAGCAGTTTGTTTGATATATATATATATATATATATATATATATAAATATATAAATATATATATATATATATATATATATATATATATATATATATATATATATATATATATATATATAAATAAATATATATATTTTGGACAAATTTTGGACCCCGCTCAATGGGCTCAAATATCAAATTTTGACCTCAAAAATTCATATTATGACCGGTTAGATAACCTTCAAAATATAAAATCTCAAAGGCACTGTTTTTTAATTAATTTTTTATGTTCATATGATCATTTTAAGCTTAACTTAATGATAATTGAAAAAGACTAAGACTGTGCTCAAAAAATTTGGACCCTAAGGTTTGACCCAGTTTCCTTAAAATTTGACCAGTTTTTACAACATTTTCCGATTTGCTGCAGCAAACTAACCGACACCGGTTTGTTTATTTGATTAAGATTGCTAACCTTTAGGAAAACTATTTTTATTTGTAACTAGTTTTTTCATACAAAAAAAATTAAAACAAATGGGATCTTAGTAATGAGGAAAGGATTGGGAGGGGAGGGGGTCAGAGGTTAGGGGAGGATAGAGGAAATATTATATATAAACAAAAAAATAATTTAGCTATTTGCTTTTATTTAGTTTTAGGCAAAAACATAACAGTTTAATATAATATTTCTTCAGAAAATCAGTTATAGTGCTTTTTTAACATCTAATTTTACTAAAATAAACAAAAATTCAAAAAACGATGTGCACATTTAGGATTTAGTAAAATTTGAGAACCCATTGAAAACCCATTCTGCAATATTTACATTATATACTCATTGTATACTTTTTTGTAATTCATTTTTACGGTTTAACACATAAAAAAAATCTCCAAAATAAGTAACCTCGGACCCCAAAAATTTGCTTCTGTATATAGCTACATGCAAATTTATCTATTGTAAATGTAACCTTGAAGGGTGTGACTTTCTTAAGCACATCGGTGTTATTTCTATACTAAAAAAAACTAAGGAAAAGAAGTTCAATCTTAGTAGTAGTGGATCAATATATTAATTAAACTGAATAAAATTGGGTGGTGTGTCATGTAATTCATGTTTTGATGGTATCATCTATAAATAGAAAATATAATGGCAATCTCAACTAAAGTCTTAGAATAACGTAATACAATTCTTATTATATGCATTTGTTTAAGGAAATTTATGTAAGTGATTATACCGAAGAGATTTAATAAACTATTGTTAATTTACCTAGTATAATGCCCAGCAATATTCAGAAACTTCTTTTCCAGATTTTCATTAGTGAAGAAACAATGTGATTAAAAAAATGACACCCTCTAAGTTACAAATTTAAAACTGCCATGGGAGAAACTTGCATATACAATAGAGTTCCGTTCAGTCGGATTCTCAAGGGGAATTGACAAATAGTCTGACTTAACGAATGTCCTACTTAACAAAGCTCTTTGTATGTATAGAAAGTTCAAGGGGAATTGAAAATCTGTCCGGCTTTGTAAAATTCCGACTTATTCAGGATCCGAGTTAACTTTATTCTGCAGTAACTATATCACTGAGTCTATTCTGCAAATTTTATTATTTTATTTTTAAATTGTATACAAAATAAATATTGCAGAACTCGTTCTCTATAAGACAGAATATTTTCTTTAAACTTTATTTAAATCATTTATAAAAAAACTTATTTTGATATCTTTTCCTGTTTTGTTTTAAATAATAATAATAAGTTAATAATAATAATAATATTTTTTACATACTGTTATATAGATGTCATTTTTTAACTTAAACAAAACAAAAACAAACACATAATTCAAGGATCGTGACTCCGTTCTTTTACGTTAAAAAAATATGGAAAAAGTGTGTGTGAGTGTGGGAGGGGGGGCCTTAACTCATGTCTAAACCCTTCCAACAACTATAATCTCTTTCAATATAATGTTATTATTTGTTAATAGTTTGTTTATGCCAAAAAAAGTAAATAAAAATAAAAAGCCCCCTTGAAAGATTTTCCATCTTAATATAAAAAACAAACAGCAGTTTTAAAAATGTTGTAGAAACCGGGTCTTTTTTTTTTGAGAAACCAGGTCAAAAATTTAGTCCTTTTAATCCTTGTATGCAGCCTAAATCTTATTGAATTATGATGAGATTAGGCTTAAAATGATCATGAACCTTTACAAAACCAGATAAAAAAAATTATTACTTTATTTTAATTTGTTAAGGGTGTTTAACCTGTCAAAATGCAAATTTTTATAGTAAAAATATAATCTTTGAGCCCGTTGAAAGGGGTCTCAAAATTTTCCAAATGAGTTTTTTATTGATCACATAGTGCACCCACAGCATATGAAAAACAATGCTTTTTGATTTTCAAAAATGAGGGGCATTTAGCCCACCCTAATATATATATATATATATATATATATATATATATATATATATATATATATATATATATATATATATATATATATATATATATATATATATATATATATATATAAATGTATATATTATATATATATGCATATATTATATAAATATATGTATATATTATATATATATATATATATATATATATATATATATATATATATATATATATATATGTATATATTATATATATATATATGTATATATATATATATATATATATATATATGTATATATATATATATATATATATATATATATATATATATATATATATATATATATATATATATATATATATATATATATATATATATATATATATATATATATATATATATATATATATATATATATACAGCCTGGGATATGGCTTAGGCTGCATTAACATTGAGATCTTTTCTATTTTTTATCTTTAACTTGCATAATATTTTTAATGTGTTTTTATTTTGGTGTGTGCATGTTTGTACACATAAAATATAACAAATTTTAATTAAAGATAAAATATATACAGGATGTATCAGTCTTAATGAAAACTAAGCTTGGTGATCAAACAAACTGACTTTATTTGATCACACCAAGCCCCAATCTAATATCAAACCTAGTCATTTACAAATAATAAACAAAGATTTTAATTTTTGTTTTAAATTACCGATTGCAGCTTTAGCTGCTTTCTCAAGATGTTTAATTGGTGTCATGGTATCCATAAAACTATCAACAACACTGCGAACAGCTCCTGTTTGAAGTATAGTTTTAAGTTTCTCAAGTTCTCGCTTTAGTTGTTTAGCAATTTGTTGAGCTTCAGGTGTATTTCCCTTGAAAAAAAATTATCAATAAAAATTTTGAATCATCAACCCTATTTTAAAAATATAAACATTAGTTCAAATGCAGAGTTCAAACATAAATCTGTCTTAGAGCATTTGGTATTAGATAGCTACTAATATGTATTTGAGAGATATGACAATCATATATAAATATTTTACAATGTAAAAACACTTGTTGACTATATCATAATTATTTTGAAAATTTAGTTTAACAACACAAAGAAGTATCATGATAAAAAAATTATAGATATTGTTTATTTTTAATGCATAAATTTACATTTATATATTGTTTAACATTCATTAAATAGAAAAATATGCCAAAAATATACTTTTCCTTGGGATTTAAGATGAGCAAGTTCCTTTGTCAAATGTTGAATATTAGCTACAGTATCGAGCAGTTCCTGTTTTTCTGGTCCTGAAAAATGTTCAGCTAGTCTTTTCCCATCTTCAACAAGTGAATCGATAGCACGTTTACCTAGCAAAATATAAAGCTAAAGTTAAGATACAAAAATACATCAAGCATTAGAGTGTTTCATTCCCAAAAATATTTTTTCAAAAATATATTACTTGCATAACAAGGTAGATAACAGGTAAAAAATACATTAGCAATTTTTTCAAAAATTCAAAATTTTCTTTAAAAGTGACAAATAACCTCAAAGAAACTTTTTTTTAACTTTTTTGACATTTTTTTAAACTGGGTTCACTTACAGTAGTGAACATTATAATTGTTAATCTATAAAAAACCATTTTTTTTACAAAAATTTACTAACATACCAGTGCCATTATATTCAGATCGAGGATCATCAATCCAATTCAATGCTTGTTCATACTGACCCTGTGTTGTTGCTGCTGGCAATCTCTTACCAGAAGTTGTTTCATTGGCTATTGCATCATCAACAAGCTTTGTTAGACGTTGTATTCTATCATCAATCTCTTGTGCAAGTCTCATTGCTTCAGGTGATTGAGCCTGGAAAAAATATTATGCATCAAATATCTCGTAAAAGTTTGTAATTTTAATTGACATTTGTTTTTAACTTTAAAATAAATTAAATTAGTATAATATAGATTTAAAAATAATACATAAAAATATAATACATTCCATTCCTTTATAAAGATAAAAATATAATACATACCATTCCTTTAAAGAAAATACTAACCATTCCTTTATAAAAATAAAAATATAATACTTACCATTCCTTTATAAAGATAAAAAAATAATACTTACCATTCCTTTATAAAGATAAAAATATAATACATACCATTCCTTTAATTCGTAGATCTGCAATTTGATCAATGAGTCGATCAAGTTCGTCACATAAATTTTTTATTTTCATATCATTCGCTAGAATACCAACCTGTCTAGCTTGTTTAATTATTTCTCGTAAAGCTTGTTCACCTAATTAATATATTTACATGGTTACCTAATAGAAGATTACATCATTTTCTGATGTCAAAAAATGTTGTTAACTTTATCAACTATTACTAATAATTTTAATAAAACTTATTTCTTCAAAAATTATAATGAGAGTATTGATTTCGTTGGAAATAAAAATAAAATACCAAGCCCATTTGCAGCAGCATCAGTGTTTGACAACCAATCTTTGGCTATTTTCATCTTTTCTTTAAGCTTATGGCGAGCTTTTTGCATGAAATTTGTTGGATCTTCAATGTCATATTCATCATCTATTTTTAGTTGAAGAACTCGCATAATTTCAATGATGTCATCACTGATTTTTGTGATCAAAAAGTTTCGATTTTCTTGGGCCTCTGCCTTCCCCTCTAAAAAAAAATGTATTCATACAGTAAAAGAAAAAAACTTCTAACAGCTTTTAGTGAACCTGAGACAGATGCCTCATTTATGAAAACATGTATCTTTTATTTTGTAATCATTAAAATTAATTTACATATTTTCATTTGCCAAATAATAAATTGCAATGCCCAAAATTTAAAAAAAAATTTAAAATTATTTTATTACACAAAACTGCACAAACCTGTGTATGGTTTGCTTGCTACAAATATACTTTGCAGATTTTAAAAGTAATACTCCTTTGATTTATTTGGATAACTTTTACTAATTTTTTCCACTACTGAATCATTCATAAATAGAAAATATTAGTTTGATTTGATTGATGTAAAATTTAATCAAATTCAAGTGACTTAATTATGTTGTAAAGTTTAATTAGGCTTAAGTGACTTAATTTTGTTGTAAAGCGTGTTAGTAAAACCATTACTTACTTCCATTTTCAAGTGTTAAAACAAAAGATTTCATGGCGGAGATTAACCGTGGAATGTTCTGTGTAGCACTATTTTTGTGCTTTTCTAACAAGTCTCTGTGAGTTGCATGTGTTAAATCAGGTATTCGACCTTCAACTTTTTTGGCAAAACTTGTAGCACCAGGAGTAAGATTTTTAACAAATGTAACACAGTCAGGCAGAGATTCAACAACTTCAGCAACTTGTAAATAATCTAGCACTGCTCGACACTGTGCTAAGATTTTTCTCACTTCTCCATCATCAAATGTTAAAAGCAAAGCAGATGTTCCATTTAAAATACCTAAATGTAAAGGTGGCTATAAGCTACTACAAATCAAAGACATTTCTTTATATATATATACATATATATACATATATATATATATACATATATATATATACATATATATATACATATATATATATATATACATACGTATATATATATATATATACATATATATATATATATATATATATATATATATATATATATATATATATATATATATATATATATATATATATATATACATATATATATATATATATATATATATATATATACATACATATACATATACATATATATATATATATATATATATATATATATATATATATATATATATATATATATATATATATATATATATATATATAATATATATATATATATATATATATATATAAAATTTTACATGATGTTATATACATTTATTGCTTAAAAACATAAGAAACTATATAAAATATATTAAAACTATAAGAAAATATATTAAATCATTTAGATAAAAATACATACTTTTTGCATTTTTAAAATGCCAGAAATGTCTATAACTTTATAAAGTACATACCTCTAGCTCCATCTAGTAGAAGTTTTCTTCCAACACTTGAATAAGGATCTCCTTTTAAGACTTTTGAAGCTTGAATTAGATCATTAGATGCTTTTTCAACTCGATTAAATGTAACTGGCATTTCTTTTTGAAGAATTTCATCCTTACTAGTCTGTACCGTTGACTTACCAACCTATAAATATAAATTAACTTGATTTTAACTGTATTGAAATTGTAATATTATATATGTATGTTATAATATTATGTTAATATAATTATAATAAAACCTAAAATAATTAAAACTAATATTTAATTCAAGTAATTAAAGCATATATACAAGTTGAACAACTATGACATTTTATCTTAAATAAAATCAACAAAAAATGTATTCCATCTCAAGAAAAAAAAATGCAGTGTGCACAGATTATATAATTTTCCAAAGAAAAAAAAAGTGCACACAAATCAAATAATTTTCTTTTTGAATTATCAAGATTAATTAAATACACAGTAAGATTAAAAAAAAAAAAAACTTTTAATGTTAAATAAAATTTTTTTTAAATACCAATACAAGATTGTTGACTGCTGCGCTAACAGTATTAACAGGTTCTGACAAATCTGGAATTGCTCCCCCTTCTTCACCTTCTTCATGAATAACTACAAGACGCCCAACCTAAATTTGTAAAAAGAAAAAAGATACAAAAATCTGTAGATCAAAGTTTAGTTTTCAAACAATTTAAACTAAAGTATAATTAGAATTTTGCTAAAAAAAATGCAAAAAAGATATAAAATATGGAATTTAACTTTTTTTGGACGTGAAGATGTTAAAAAAAATAAAAATAGTAATAAAAAGAAATTTTTATAAATAAGTAATAGGTAGAACATGCACAGTTGAACAGTTACCTAATTTGAGTAAATTATAGTTTTGGCGCCTATTTATCAACATTTTTCAAGATTTTACAGTCAGTTCTTCAAAATTAATTAAATAACTACTGGTATGTTATTTTTCACTAAGTAAAGTATAAAAGGTAAAAAACTGGGCTAAAAGAAAAATATTTAGGGGTGGCACAGTATCAAAATCAATAATTTTGCCAATATGGGAGTTTGCCAAAATGAAGTTTCCATTTTTGGATTCTTCCAGGATTGCTTACACCTCAGCGTTAGTGGCACATTGAAGAAAAAATAGTTAAAGATGTTGGAGATCCCTTTGAATAGTATTTATCTACCATTTTATCTACCATTTTAAAATAATAGAAGCTACTTGATGATTGGATTGCTTTTTGCTTAGACACAACAAGTAGCATCGGCTGAAAAACAGGATTTTGCAGCTTTAATTGAGAAGGATATTGGTTGTGCTATTTTTTGGATTGCTTGTTGGCACCACATTTATGAGTTGCACATTAAACACGTCTGGGAAGCAGTTATTGAAAACCATAGTGGACCAATTGAGCTGCTACTTAAAATGCTTACGGATAACTGAGACTCAATTTCCAAAAAAAAAAAAAGATTTTGTATGAATTTTCTGCAGATGGAGATAACCCAATCTATTGTGAAGCAAAACTTGAAAATGGGCTAGCATTTGTCTAAAAAAAAAATACATTTCCAAGAAAAGATTATTGGGAACTTATTGAATTTTGAACTTTTCAGTTCAAGAAACCCGGTGCTTATCATCGTGCGAGATTTATGCACAATGAATAATATATCTTTAAGAATGTAATGTTGATCAACAAATTAACTGGCTCAACCAGGACCAATGCTATAAGCTAAAGAGAATGGCAGATTTCATTGCACTGTTCCAAGCAAAAGCTTTTTGCAAGTCGAGTTTTCATCATTGCACCAAATGTTGATTGCCAGTATATCACTGACATGAAGGGGTATTGTGAATTTGACAGTACAACAGCGAATGCCGCCCTTCAGCAGTCTTACAGACATTTTTGGTATTTAGATTAACAGTTAGTTGTCTTCATCTTGCTTAATGAATATGTTTCTGCAATCGAAGGTTCTGCCGCAACATTTAAATTGTTTAACATCAAAAGAAATGAACAAACCAAGCTTGGAAAACCAACATTTCCACAAATTGAACTAAATAAAATTCCTGATTTTGTTTGCTGATCAGGCAAAAAAAAATCAGGAATACCTGGCTACTGTCAAAAACAAAGTCAAAGATCCAAAGCAGATACAATACGTACTTCATATCGTTGAGAATCATTGCAAACAGGTGTTACTCATCAAAAAAAGGATAACTTAATTAACATAATTCTTTTTAACATTGTTTTAGGCAATTTTGTACATTAGTGCAGGGCTTGAAACAACAAACATTGTTTTCCGCACAAATTGTCCGATAAAAATTCATGTTTGGCGGACTTAAAACCTAAAGAAATGCCATCAAAAGTCATTCCTTACCACACTTAAATCTTTTTTTTTTTACAACTTTACCACAGCACTTTTTTTAAACAACTTTCAAAAATGTGCTGAAAATAAAAAGAAAATTTAAAAGATAACTAACCTAAAAAAAGAAAATCTTATAGAAAAAGAAAAAACCTAAGCTTAAAAAAGGAAAATTTGAAAAGGAAAATATATTTATATTACGTTTTTTAACTACTAATCTATGCAAAGTGCTGTGCAAATTATCATATATTATAAATATGCGGTAGTGGTGTAGTGGTAGAGCGCTCGCTTCATAAACGAGTGGTTCTGAGTTCGATCCCCACCACGTCCCTGGTAGTACCGCGCTCAACTCGTTTCTCTGCGCAGCGGTCTTGTTCGTCAAGGTTCGTGTTTCGGAGTTATAGAGTTGTGAGAGGGTTATAGCCACAAATAAGTAGCCTCCTCGTCTGTAGTGGCCTTCTCGGCCTTGAGGAGGTGAATTAAAATAAAAAAAATAAAATAAAAAATAAAAAATATATTAAATACATAATTTATTAAGTTAACTTATTACTTTATTAAATAAAGCTAATTAAATAAACATATTCTAATGCTTGTTTACAATTAACAACTAACCTATTTTATTTAAATTATTAAAGAATTTTATACATAATTACATTTATATAAATACGTATTTTTTAATAAATCTTTTTAAACTTTTTTTATGATTACTTTTATAAACCTTTCATAGCGAAAAACTTATGCACGAAAACAAATGTTATGCAACAAAACTCAAACTTAATAGTGTTATAAAAAGTACTGGTTTCTTAATAGTTATAAAAAGTACGGGTTTCTTATTAGTTATAAAAAGTACTGGTTTCTATAAGCATTATAAAAATATTACATTAAAATTTTTTTTCAATAAATTTAAAAGAAGTTTTTAAAATTTATTTTATAAAAATTTAAAAAAAAGCTAAAATATTTGTTTGAAATTTATAAAAAAACCATCAGACAAAAATAAAATAAAAATAGAAATAAAAATTTAATAATTAATTGCATCGTTTTAAAATAAATTTAAAAAAACTGGGCTTTTTAATTCTAAAAAAATTTCCAAGAACGTCTTTTAAAAAATGAAGTAGCTCAAAAAAATGATGCATTTTTACAAGGAAGGTGTGTGTTCAACTTTATTTTCTGTTGTTTATAAAAAAAATGATAAGTTTATATACAATACTGAATTTATTAATAATTTTGGAACAACAAAAATGATTATAAAATAAATTCACACAAAATATGGGCCTGACAAAATGATAGAAGTTGATTTTTACCAGACAATGTCCAATGTCCAGCAGCTATTTTGAGCCCAGCATTAGTGACATAATATTTCTGTCCTGTGCAACCCCTAAATATTTTTCTTTCAGCCCAATTTTTTTACCAGCAACATGTTAGTGAAAAATAAAATAATAGAAGCTCTCAAATGAATTTTATAAAACTGACAGTGAAATCTTAAAAAATGTTGAAAAATAGGAGCAAAATCAACAATTTACTCAAATTAAGTAACTGAGCTACCTCTAAATGTTTAATTGTCCTGGACACCATAAAGCAACATAGTCAATAAAAAAAATATAAAGAAATAAAATTAAAGTATAAAAATAGTATAAAATTTTTAAAAAATTAAAACAAACATAATCTGCATTAAAAAAAATAATATTCAAATCAATTAAGTTTTTAGCAATAATTTATACATGTGTCAGTCTTCTTTGGCAAGCGCTTTTGCATTCAGCCCTTTTTGTTCTCACCCACACGCCCACTAAAACTTTAGCCAGCGTTTATAAAAAAATAATAATAATAAAAACATTTTTTTTTTTTTTTTTAATTACAAAAAATCTCTTTTTGATTATCAAATACTTTTAGAAAAAATCATTAAAACACTTTTAAGCATGAATTATTGTATTTAGAATTTAAATAAAAAGTACGTTGTGCTGTTTTTAATGTAATTATTTTATTTAGAATTGAAATTATTTGTTTCTTTGTTTTTTTATTTTTTATCCTGCTTTTATTTTAATTATTTTATTTTAGAACTTGAATAAAACACATGTTTTAATTTTTTTAATTTTATTATTATTTTATTAAGAATTTAAATAAAAACCAATTAAACACTTGTCTTTCTGTTTTTATTTTAAATAGAGTAAAAGATTTGTTTTTTGCTGTATTTCGCTCTTTAAAACTTTGTTTACATATAACTTTTTACTCATATACTCTCTTCAAATGAAATATGTGCAGTAAAGAAAATATTATGTGTTACTATCCCATTTTCATTGCGCCTTGTTTTTTTTACTCAAAAACAAAGTTACTAGACCTATATTTTTTTTGCGTTATAAAATCTGTTTTTTGCGTTAGAAAAATTTATTTTTTGCAGTATTTAAAAAAAATGATAATAAGTAAGTAATGAAAAAAATGCAATAATTTTATAAAGAAACATTAAAATTAAATGTATTTGAACTTGTAAGAATAAAAGAAATTTGAATTTCATTTCTTAAAACAACTAAAAACAAATATATTAAATATTTTTAGCTAGTCGTTCACGCTTCTTTTTAGCAACAGGTTCAGATGATTTCGATTTTTTTTTACTATTTTTCCATCTTTACTTTTTTAATCTTCTTTTGCATTATTTTTTGTTCTACACAAATCTTTTTCCTTTCTTCTTTTTCCTTTTTTTTTTCATCGTCTTTTTTTATATACTTCTATTTTATAAAACTTTGTCACTAACTCACTTGAACAGAAGCAATTAGTTGATTAATGCTTTTACTAAATGAAGCTGCGCTTGAAAAAGTAGGATTTTCAAAACACTCAGAGGTTACGTGCGCATCTAAATAGGAAGCAGATTCAGAATCATTATCTACTCCAATAAACCACTCAAGATGAGCATTCTAAATATTTGGTGTAAAGACTGTATAAAAATCTTGTAATTTTGCTGACTAGAACCATTGCTGCTGCTTTACTAAAAGATTCTGGGGTACAAAGAACTATTCCAGGATTTCTTATAAAGAATAACCTTACCCAATATCCCATCGGAAGTCCATTTTTGAACAGCGTAGTATCTAAGGATTTTCAAACTCTGAAGCAGCCTTAATTAAATCATCCTTTGTTTTAGGATCACCCAAATTAGATGACATAACAAACCATTCAACCAATTGTTCTTCTTCAAATTCAGTTAACACATTTTTTGGACCAGTTTTCTTCGAACTTTCTCTGTTTTTTTTTTTTTTTTTTAAATGCCAACTAATTATTTGTTCTAGCATGTCATACTTT